TGGTGTCCTTCGACAGCTCTTAGGTCTTTACCATAGTGGAGTTTGGAGTGTGACTGTTTGAGGTTATGGACAGGTGTCTTTTATACTGCTAACAAGTTCAAACAGGTGCCATTAATACAGGTAATGAGTGGAGGACAGAGGAGCATCTTAAAGAAGTTGTTACAGGTCTGTGAGAGAGCCAGAAATCTTGCTTGTTTGTAGATGATCAGATACTTATTTTCCACCGTAATTTGCAAAAAAATTCTTTCCAAATCACACAATGTGATTGGATTTGTTTTCTTATTTTGTCTCTCAAAGTTGAGGTCTACCTATGATGTCAATTACAGGCCTCTCTCATCTTTTTAAGCGGGAGAACTTGCACAATTGGTGGCTGACTAAATATTTTTTTGCCCCACTGTAACATGTGGAGCCCTACTCTGATACCTGCAGAGCTGTTGTCTGTATGGGTGTGGTTATTGTTGCCAGAGCTGGATTTTGAACAGTAGCCATAACAGGATTTCCATCAGTTTTCAATGTTGTTAAGACAAGAGAATCTGTCTTGATTATCTGTGGCTGGACTAGGACCTGGAAGGAGGCAATACAGTAAACAATTAATGAAAACAAACACAGAAATGGAAAGTTGTTATTACTAGTCCCTATGTTACAGTATAGAGTCCCACTATGCAAGAAACAGCCATAACTACTATTTCAATATACTTCTCTCCCAGGCTTCCTTCTACATATACCAGAGGCCCAGATTATACAGCTACTAACCTCATATGTTACAAATGACTTCCACTGTGGCATTCCACCAATCAATCTACTCATTTCTCTTAATTAATAAATTGGCTTTAAAGAGTATAATCTCCACCTGATAAAAACTTTTAGAAGTAAGGAATGTATTCTTTGTAATGCTCACTCCATTCATTAACAAATTTGTTGTTATAAAACCAAAACCTTTGCTGCTGAAATTATTACAATAATAGCATGGAACATTATCCATTCTTTCCAAAATTTCTTTACTATTTTTTCCCTAATATCAGTACTACAATTGCTTTTTTCTTTTCTTATGTTTAGCTATCAATGACTTATGGGCTTTGGGGATTTCATTGCTTAGAAGCCAAACATTATGTCAGTGAGGTTATTTCTTGCCTTGGAACAGAGTATAAATATATACTACTCCCTTAAGATATTAAATAAAAGAACTCACTGGAACCTGCTGAACCTGAGGGGCAGCTACTGCCTGGACAGTTGCTGGAGTTAGTGTCTGGATGGTGCCGGTGGTACTCTGTGTCAATACCCTCTGAGCTTGCATGGTCTGCATCTGCTGTTGAATGGCAACTGGTTGAACTTGAGAGGAAGTCACCAAGCTTTGAACCTGGGGTTGCAGCACTAGAAAGAAGATAAGTTTGAAACTGCTCAAGGGAAATTATGATTTCCATAAGAACTGTAGCCTCTGATCTTTGGTGATAGGCTGGGTTTCAAGAAAAACATATAGGTAATTGCTGTAGTTTTTTTTATCGTAATATAACAACTGAAAGCAAAATCCGCCAAAAATATCTTCTATTCAGTTTTAATATTATATTAGGACAGTACTGCCTTAATCAGTGATAATAGTTCTTGATTTTTAATTACAAACTTGTTTACCAGCATGAGTTTACTACTCAAGTTTATATTTTAAACATTATATATTTTATTTATTGTAGTGTTTAATTGTATTTCTCTGTTATTTAATTGTATTTCTTGTAAACAATTTGAAAAAAGAATACATATTTTGACCAAAAAGCAAAATCTTACTGCAAAAGAATTAAGATTATAGACAGTCCTTGAATCAAGACCATGACTACACCTGGGGTCTTTTGTAACTTTGAATGGTCACTGAAAAACCGGTCACAAGTAAAGGGCAACCTGTACACACTTTGCCCTTTACTTGTGACCGGTTTTTCAGTGACCATTCAAAGTTACAAAAGACCCCAGGTGTAGTCATGGTCTTGATTCAAGGACTGTCTATAATTTTCATATTCTTGTATCTCACTGGCAACATGGATATGGTGCTAAATAATGCTGTGATCCAGAAATTCTCATTTGTGAAGATGAAGGTAAAGATTTTTTTACCCTAGTGCTTTATAAAACTTTCCTTATTGCTTTGAAGACCATGGGAGTTACCTTGAAAACTTGTGGTTGCATTTTGGTATATTACAGGTTGCTGAATGATCCGGGTCTGGGGAGAAGAGCTGAAAGTTGGAGTAATCATCACCGTCTGTTGCTGAAGTGGGGGTTGAACTTGGGGGCGAGGTTGAAGAGGAGGTGCAGCCCGTTGTGGAGCAGGAATTGTGCCCGTTGACTGAGAGGCCTTCACTTGCACAGACTGAAGCTGTTGTGGAGAAGCTGCGCTAGGAGAGGATTGTATCTGTCCCTGGCTGTAGGCTTTCTGTGAAGTATCTGATATTCTGTCTCCATTACATCCACTGCTGCTCTGGAATGTGCCATATAACTGTTCAGAAAATAAATCTGGAAAATCTCCAACCTGATTGCTGACAAACTGTAGCATTTCTATAAAAAACAAGAATGGAAACCATAAGATTACTTTTCAAAATTATTCAATCTTAAAATGAAAAAAATATACAGCAAGGACATGCATTCTTTTAGATCTAGGAATCTAGGATAGAGATGCACTTTCCTCAAATGACTGGGTATAATTCGGTTTATGGCCTTATCACTGGATGCTTAAGTGGTATATGTAGATTCATATATCTTTTTGTTTTAAATTAGGGTATGAACTATTTTTAATCATACTTTAGAAAACCAAATTTTGCCACAATTATCTATGATTTTGTCTCATTGCAATTAAATTATCCCAATGAGTCATTTCTGAACTGGCTTTCTGGAAAATTCAAAAGGTTTACAATATGATGACTTATAATTAACCAGATATAAAAATGTTACCATTTTCAGTTCGGCAGTTATACTTCTCCAGTAGTAGCCATTGGAAAGGAATTGAAAATATGGACCTTTCCTTAGATATTTAAACCTAAATGTTTGGAATTCCCAGATATATAATAAGTTTGAATTCTTAATGATCAATTAATGGTTGTTCCTTGTTTTCAGTTGGTATTATTTTATTTTTATATTTTTTTGTTTATTGTATGCTGCCAGAATTACATTGTTCAAGTTCAGCAGCCATATGATTGCTCTTGAAGCCAAGTCGCTAATTTCTACTAATCACAAACACTAAGAAGTTACTAACTAATTTTCTATGCAATAAGCTTAGAAATTAAATCCTGCAATTGAAGAATCATTAAGTAACAAAGCTTAAAATTCTGCAATAGTGTCAAGGAAATGTTTAGGACACAAATACTTGACCATGTACATTTTTTCTGCCTCATTTGTTATTCTGCTGTCTCCATCAATTTACCAATATGAGGTATTTCCAGGGAAAAGCATTGAAAATTAGATTCCATTAAATGAGATATAATATATAGCAGAAACATACCGTGTTTTCCCAAAAATATGACATGTCCTGAAAATAAACCCATGCCATATTTTTCAGGTAGGCAAAAATATACACCCACACACCCCTCCAGCCAGGCAGAGCGCCACTCATCAACCTAACGGTATCCCAAAGGTGCCAAGCCACAGGAACCGGCGGGGGGGGGG